CACAAAGTTATATAATAAGTTCATAAAGAAAAAAATCAAGTTTTCCTTTTATATATATAAAACCCAGCATTTACTGCTACTAGGAGTCTAAATGTTAACATTGACTGTTTATCGTCAATTTGAAAAAAAAATGAAAAGAAAAAAAGGAAGAGGGAAGTACTTTTTCACAGCAGACAAAATGACGAGGTAAGAGATGTTTTTACAATGATCCAACTGTAGTAAACACTTCAGTTTTCATTAAACCATATACTAAATATAATAAACCCAAATAAAAATATACATTTAGAGCACTGCAGTGTTTTCCCACAGTTGTATATCAACAAATTGTCAGTCATTCACTAAACTTGACTTGAAACAGTAAAAACAGGGTGTATGTTTATTTTTAGTACTAAAATCTCATAATAATCTAAATATTTTGGTATAGCAGACCACACTAAAACACTCTCAGAACTTTCAACTACAAGGGGTATATTCATGGTAAAAATGATGTGCTTTGTTTGTCACTCATGATGAGTTTTATAGAACAGTATGTTCATGATCACTATTAGGCAATTAAATGAAAATACCTAAATGCTGCAAAATACTCTTTTATTGAGCATAGCTCCCTCTTCACATACCCAAGTTAATCAATGCACCGCAAACTTAGAAGCTTAGTTCACAAATCTTACATTATCAGTCTCTTTAACTAGTATATGGCTAAAATAATTATTGCTGACCAGTGTTAAAAAAAAACCAAGACAAACCCAAACAAAAACAGAACAGCAGACAGACTTTTCTCAAGTGGTTTTCTCACAAGTGCCATTGTTATTAGGTAACTAAATGACCACAGAGGAAAAACAAAACCTATTTCAAATGTGCATATAAAATTTTTTGGAGGTACAGGCACCTCCATCCAAAGACTGTATGCCTAGGCTATCTGCTAAAAAAAAAAAAAAAAAAAAAAAAAAAAATTTTCCTAGAACTTTTTTTTTTTTTTTTTTTTTTTTTTTTTTTTTTTTTTTCGTCATCTGAAAAAAAAAAAAAAAAAAAAAAAAAAAGAAAAGAAAACGAAAAAGCAGAAGAGGTAAGACAAAACAGCAGAAAGTCAAACTGGTTTGATATCCAACATCCCCCAGGGACGCAAACAAAGCGCTCCCGGCCAGGCCCAGCTCTGCCCGCAGCCTGCAGGAGAGCCCTCGTTTGGGAAGCACCTTCATCACATTTATCATCATTCCCCTCCTGACTGGATTCCATTGCAGGTACCTTATCCCGTGTGGCAGAGAACAGTAGCTAAGCAATGCGAATGTCATACAAGTGCTGAGTTCACACTCCAATAACCAGCCTAAAGCCCTGCTGAGCTGCCGGGGGCACAGGCCTCCAGGCGCAGCATCCCCGGCCAGGCCGTGTCGTCCAGCCCGCACTCTCTGCTGGGAGGTCTGGCTGGATTAAACGGCTTGTGGCTACCTATTGCTTTGCTTGACACACAGGTGCTTGTTGAACATAATCCATGGAAAGAAAAATTCCCTTAGGGTATCTCTGTGCCTTACCGTTGCTAACTGGCGCCCACCACAAGAGCCCGGCAGTCCATCCAGGGAGTCCTCGCTGCCTCACAGCCCCCCGAAAGCTGAACCTGCCCTTCTGCAAGGTCTCTGGTACTGCTGAGCCTGCAAACGATGGCAACGGCTTTTCGTAGCTTTGACTGAAAGTGTCTGACCATAAACCAGTGCTGCTCAGCTCTGTGTGTGTGGACATTCGCCTGCCATCCCTCACATCGCCACGCCAGTGATATGCTGAGGACTTCAGGATATTTACAGGCTTGACAAGCCCAGAACTGCCCGGACAAAGGCCGATGAGCTGATGGATCAGCGCGGCCATCCTAGACCTTTGGCACATCCACAGCTTGTGGGCAGAGCACATCTTTCACCGAAGCTTCTGCTGAAATGATCATCAAAATTACCTGCTGCTGCTGGTTTCCCCTTCCATCCCTTCCCTTTGGATTCAGCATCAGCCCCACACTGAGCTGAGTGGGGCATCTCACCCTGAGAGCGGTTTTATCTTCGCTAATCCACAGGCTCAGGAAGACAGCGCTATATTCCTTACAAGCTACGGATGCTTTGAAGGGTTTTGCAGAGATAACTACTCGGAAGAGCCTGATGAAAAGCACGGTCTCAGAGCTGAGAAGCTCCCACCACTACGAGGTGGTGGCAGCAATGGAGAATTTTCCTTCAGTCATTTACAAAGCAGCCAAAGGCAGCAAGAAATTTAACAAGGGAGAAAATAAATGCTTGGGAAAAAAAACCACCAGCACAACAGAAGAGTGCAAAGCCTATGGATAATTTGTACCCTGCTGAGAGGGGGACAGGGGCCACCGAGCAAAGGTGGGACAAGTGCATGGTGAGCACTCACCGTAACATCATGGATGCTTTCGCTCACGCACTTTGAGAGCGAGGGCAGTGGCAGGGCTGGCAGGAGGAACAGCAGAAACTCTTCCCCTCTTCATTGAGCAGCTTTAAAAAATGTCCACCCTAAATCGCTCACAAAAAATAACATTGGGTGTTTGTCTAGAAAAAACAAGGCATTGTCTAAATAACATTTAGACGCACAGACACACCCAGTCTAAAACCGCTTTAAAAAAGTGCATCTTTTGAACACTAGGATATTTAAAGTGAGAGATGGCACTGAATTTCTTACAGAAAATACAGTTTTCTTCAGTGAGCTCATTTAGTAAAGGAGATACCAAATAGACACAGACAGAAGAACACTGGAAAGTACTAATTTCACTGAAAATGCACTTTTAGGCCAAACAAAACTACCCGTGAAAATGAGTCAAAAACCAGCAAATAAAGGTTTAGCCAAATAGGAAAAAAGCAGAAGGTCAACCTGTTTAATTTTGGGGTGTGAAACAATGTTTCAGTTTTCCATTTTGAAATAATTTATTCCAAGATGAGTCTAGGTCATTTTCCAAAATGTGAAATAATGTATCTAATGAAACATTCTTTCCCCTTGAAAAAAAAAGATCTCCATATATTTTTATGTCACTGAATATTTTTAGGTTTTGTGCCAATACAAAGTGGATCTGTCTAATTTGGCCACCAGACCCCTAATCTCCCCTGTTATTCAGCAGCTCTAACACCAGCTCAAAGGAGCCTCTCACTGGAAAGCCCAGTATGAAAAAGGCAGTAAGACACTCTCTAACCTGGTGTCATAAGAGACCAGCTCACATTTTTTGCTCCCAGAGCTGCCAGCTTGTCAATACCACCAGGGTGGACAGGCAGGACAGGCAGCATGGTGGGACCCGTGGCAGTGTGGCTGGCAGCCATCAGCATGGGAAGTGCCAAGAACAAGACCTTTATTAACGAAAGAGCCATGTAACTGAGGTAGGATAGATCCTGCCATCAACCACGTGGAGGGAGAAACCTGTGCTCAGAAAGGGGACCTGTGATTGCCTAAGGTGAGATACAACCTTGTATAAAGACATCTCTGCTCAGGTTTGATGGAGACGGAGCAATGACCTACTTCATTGCCTGATGGCATGGGGAAATCAGGCTTTGCACAGCACTGTCTTTTAAGAACTAAAAAATACATGCTCTGCAGACCCTCTCTTGGACAAGGATGAGCATTTCCTGGCCCCGGCAACATTTGGGGCCATCCCTAAGCAGGTGGCCACCGGCTGAGTGCAGGTCCTGGTATGTGCTGAATATCCAACATGCCCAAATGGAGGAACAAATGCATCTGCAGGAGTGCATGGGCATTTTGGTGGGGGAAGGCTGGCTGCCCCAGTACTCCCACCAGGAGGGAGGCAGCGTTCTTGAGGAGCAGCATGGGACTCACGGTCTGGCACACAGGTTATTGCTGGGCCACCACAGAGCATCAAGGAACGATCAGTGCGTGACACCAATGGTTCCCACTCGGTGGGCGCGCGGGGCTCCAGCCCTGGGGCAGGGACGGGGCCAGGCTGGAGAGAGGAGCTGGGCTGGCATCCCTACATTTCCCAGAGCATGTACCATCTCTTCCTAGTGCACTTCTGGCTTTTGCAGTGGAAAAATACAATGACAGAGGGAAAGGTTAAAAGAGACGGAGCGCGGGGGAGGTTTTTAAGTGATTATACATAGAAGCTCTCAACTCACCGCTCTTGGGAAGGAAAAACAGAGGAAGGGGGCAATTATAGCAAGACCTTGGATGCTTGAAGGATGGAGTTTCCCATAGCATATAGCCATGAATAAACACCCCTACGCTCAACATCAGGGCTGCAGCAGATCAGGAAAAGATACATTTGGGACATGACTAGAAGAGCCAGAGCAGGGATTCCTCTGAGGACACCCCCATCCTTCCTCCAGTGGGCACGAAGCACCCAGAAATAACCACCCGTGTCAAAGCTGTGCGCTGGTTTAATGTGCCAGTATTAAACTCCATCTGTTAAATCGATGCAATCCCACAGAAACACTTCCTGCAATTCAAGAGTAGCTTCAATACATTCCTAATGAACTGGATCTGAGATAGACCTGATTAAAGGGCGAAACCAGATCTGGATTAACCTCAATAAAATAATTTGTTCACAGAGCCTTTTTCTTCCTCTACCTGGAAACATGTTAAAAATCACATTTCATATTAAAACCAGAAGGAAGACCTAGTACTGCTCAAAGGCAAAAAGGAAGCAGGAGATGGAGCAGAGTCCTCAGTGCCAAAGGAATAAAACACTGTGGTGAGGAGGACCCTGACCACCTGTATTGCTCGCAGATCTGAGCTGTGTCATTCCCTGGTTCCCAGCTGATGCAGAGACTGGCTGCAGTTCAGGAACTCTAAAGCAGCATGGGAGGAGAGGAGAAGCAGGACAAGCTGCCTCTTAAATGATGGTGCCTATCCGACTTCCTATCAAATAAAAAGACTAAAAATGGAGATTACTTGTGCACAACCACACACAGTTTCTGACGTCATTTTCAATTTTGAGGTCTGATCTAACCCCACATTATGCAACTCTTGAATCTTCCATGCTGGCAAAGTCTAATTTCACACGCCTACATTCTATGTACCTGATTTTTATTTTTATTTTTAAATATCAACAGCCTACAGCAATTTTTTTTAAAGAGACTTAAATGGTCATAATGGTTATGAAAGGTTCCAGCTTCACATCCGTTGTTTAAAAGGAGTAAAAGCAAAAATACACAAAGTCCAGTCTAAAAAACAGGCAATGAAGGTAACACAACAGCAACAGATGAAATGAAAATTCAAGGGACAATTGAAGACAGAACTTATCTCCAGCAGGGGGGTTATGTATCCACATGCAAAAAGTATTAAATGCATGTTTCATCTATAGCCTCCTTTCTTTTAAAGGTCACTTTTATAATTGAGATGTGCCAAGAAAATAAAAAAGCCCCTAAATAAAAAAAAAATAAACCACAGCCATTTTATATCAGTTACTGCTGGACAGCACTAACATGGTGCTTAACCGAGCTTTCGCCTGAATTAAGAAAGTAATGATGTCACATAAACAAAAGTTCTTTCCTGAATTAATTCAGATCCTCTGTAAACAGACTCTCAAACCAGGTTAGGGAGAAAAAGAGAAAGGAGCTGAAGGTAGTCCTGGGGGCAAGAGCAAAACTTGGGCTGACATCTCCTCTCTGGTCCTTTTTACATCCCTGTCTCTGATTAAGTGAACTTCTCATTGGAGCCCACCATATACATTTCTCAAAACGTATTTAGAGCTGCTGAATAATCAGTTTGAGAATACAACAGCATTTCTGCCCTTTGATTTGGGTTTTTTTTTTTTGCACAGTCTAACTTCGTGACTAATTCCCACCCTACTGTCAAAGATACATGAGGTGAGAATGCAGAAATCATAGGAAAGGATTTTAATTTCATGCGGCCGTGACCCTGCTGGTCTCCTGGGCAGAAACTGGCTTCCGAGCAACCCCCTTTTCTAGTAACCTTAGACTGCTCTTCAGACCAACATTTCCTTCTTCACTGCTGCAGAAATTAACCAACAGTGATCAAATTGCACAGAGGTGCATGTGCTCTGTGTAAAAATCAGCAACATACCGCTTTTTAAAAGAAATATTTGGTCCCGAGACTCAGGTGGGCATTTTTCAGAGATGCACATAATGACAGAACTATAGGGGTTCAAAATTGAAGGCCAGAGAGAGGTGATCTTGCTAAGCACGAGAAGCTCCCCTCACCTACTGGGTAAGATGCATGACTTCAAGAGCTGAGATTCCTTCCTACATCATCGCTTTGTGCTGTACGGGTCCAGGCAAGCACATGCAACCTGTATTGGAGGTTATCTGAAATCCACTGGATTATTTTTTTTCGGTGACTCAGGCATGATTGACATGGTCCCTAAAGACACTGGTATCTGTGTGAAGTGATTCACTTGACTGCAGCTCATCACAGGCACATTTTACAAACTGCAGGAGCTCCAACTAATCTTCTCTCTGCTCCACCAAGGAATAAGAGTGGATGTTGCTAGGAGTGCTGATAGTCCGGACAAGAAAAAGACTTGTTTTCTGTTTCTATGGTTGCAACAGCCCTTAAGAAAGATATAAATTTCCCTGCAACAACTAACTGCATATTCATTTTAAGGTAGATCTAGTTCCAGATTCCTGAGACAGAACCCTCTACCTGTTCCCAACCCCCACGAAGCCAGAGCAGCAATATAGAAAGTTTCTAATCTCAACAGAATTCAGTGAGCAGCACGATTGGTTTGGAAAATAAACCAAAAAAACCCAAAAAACCCCCACAGCAAATTTTCAGCCTCTATGTACAAAAACAATGCAAACAAGTGGAACATTCTAGTTATATTTTGTAAAACACGTTTGGGATCAACAAAACATCAAACATCCAGACCCTAGATTACAAAAAAAAAATTCTATTGCCATCTAGTTGTCAACCCCAAGTTTAGACAGTCCTTGTCGGAAATCATGTAATTCATCTATCTTCCCGTCTAGTACATCTAAAAAATTCTTTAATTCAGTTTTAAGGTTGGTCTGCCTATGTTTGCTCTCTTCAACTTCTGTCCTTAGCGTTCTGACTTTCTCTTCAAGATCTTTGTTCTTTTCCTCAGCAGCCTTAAAGACAAAAGAGACAGTAAGATGAATCACAGAGAAGAAGGATGAACAGCATTTAACAGGGTAAAGCAATAAATGGCAGCCGGGCTGTAAAAGTTTGCTTTGACTTCTGCACAGATTAACACAAGCACCTCTGAGAGCAAGTGACATGTGCTAGTCAGATCAAAAGGAAACAGAGCCCATGCAGGAAAGGACAGAGATTAACTGGAAAAGACGCTTTCCATCAGACTTTTGTCACTTGGCTGATATCTTAAAATTCAGCTGGATTTAAATCATGCACTGTGCATATATTTCTGTCATTGCTACAGTGGCAGAATTAGACACTGTGCCACCAATTACATACAGAATTATCTGTGGTGAAAAACAAGCTTAAAAAATATTAACTGAGGAATAACACTGCTTTATGCAGCAGGATTTATTGGTATTTTTTTTAAATTTCACTTTGCAGGAGCACCCAGGCAAGGAACAGGGCAGCAGTGTAACACTTCCCTTGCTGTAGTGTGTTCTATTCTTTGCCCCTCTCGTCAGCTCTTCTGCCTATTGTTCTCCATTTCATGCCTGTAAGCACATGCTTATTCTCACCAAACCCCATAGACAACATATTTTACCACACTGAATCAATCAAAACTCATTTTTTAACCATTTTCAGCATCTGCACTCCTCAGCAGCCTTCTAAATAATTTCACATTGTTTAGACTATCAGACTGATGGCTGGTTTGATGGAGCGGATTTGATTTCATTGATGAGACAGCTTAAATTCGTTTTCCTTGCGTGTATTAACTTACTACATTTGAGCAAGCCCTGACATTAACAAGTGATGGAGGTGGGAAGCCCAGAGCCCAGCAGGAGCCCCACGTGCAATGCCAAGCCCAACCAGCCACACTTTGCCGGGAAGGAACGACACAGAACATAAATGCATCCTCAGGTGAACTTTTTTTCCCTGGTGGTGTGTAGCTACGCTCATCTCTTTCTTCCCAAAAAGCTTTCCCTAGTGCCCCTGAAGCAATTAGCTGCAGGTCTCGGGGTGCTGCTTAACACACATGGCTGTGGTGCAGCTCCAGGAGCCCAGAGCAGCAGGAACATGGGATACAAGATAGCCTGGGATCTGGAGGAGACAGATGCAACGCGATCCCAGGCTAACCAATTTCTGCAAACAGCAAGGCAAAGAAACAAAGCTATTTAATTACTCCTGTGCTGGGAGGGGCACAGTGTATTTTTGCATGTAATTAGCTGGCTTTTTTTCTTTTTTACCAACTGGAGCTCTTTTGCCTTCAAACACTGAAGTCTGAACAGAGAAAAGCATATAGTTATGAGAAGGAAAGTAAATGTATCAACCATTTTAAAATTAATTTTGTTGCTAAACTGTACCTGTAATTGTTGAGATACAGATTCACATTCTGACATTAGCTGTGGTATAATTTCACCCTGCTTTCTGAGCTCTTCCAGTTCCTTTGAAAACATAAAAAAAAAAAAAAGAATGCAAGCTTCAATTTAAAACATAATGAAAACTTGAGAATATGAAATGACTTTGCATATTTTATTGTATACTGTAGAGTACTTGGATATAAAATAATCAAAATAGCATGTCTGCATTCCAAAACTCATGCTAATTTTCTACTCGAATACATTTTTGCACTACATTTTTGACTTTGCATTTCTAAAACAGACAACGTAATCCAATCTCTAGCATGAATGCTATTAATTATATTAATGAAATCTTAACCTCAAACACATACCTATGCAAAAGGTACATTCAATAAGAGAGAAACCTGAAGGGCTGTAATGCTACAAGCAATTCATAGATGGTAGCGAAGAACAAATTAGACATGAATTTTCAATGATATATGGCAGCAAAAAAAGGCCAATGGCATTATGAGCTGAATATATAGAGGCATCATTACAGAGCACAGGCTCTCCTCCACTACACAGCTCCGAGGCCTCTCCCCCCAATTTGTATTCAGTTCTGGCATCACTATCAAAATTGAGAGGACTGGCTGAAAGGGGTTCATGAAAAGAGCAATGTGACTTGATAGGAGACCCTGTAACGGGCTCTCCTCCACTACACAGCTCCGAGGCCTCTCCCCCCAATTTGTATTCAGTTCTGGCATCACTATCAAAATTGAGAGGACTGGCTGAAAGGGGTTCATGAAAAGAGCAATGTGACTTGATAGGAGACCATGTCTCTGATGGGAATTGGAAGAGCTGAGTGCATTAACACCACAAGTGAACACCACCACTGTGGGTAGTAGGGAAAGACTCGGAAAAAGCTGCACATTTTACAGGATTGTCAGAGCATCTGAAAAGCACATTTGTAGGTCCAAGAGAAACTCTGTGACTTGAAGAGAGTGCAAGGTCCTCCTCCAGAGACTGCCTTTGTAGGTGACCATCTCAAGAGCAAACAGGGGTAGGTCTCCTCTGAGCTGTACTGACACAAAAAACACCCCTATCTGAAAAGCAGATTTCTTGGCTACAAAAGGGGATTTCTTCCCTAACAGGCAAACTTACAGCCCAATGTGAGTGTAACAGAATTCAAAGTCAAGCTCTTCCACAGAACCTGACAATAACGCTTTTCCTCAAGGCCACTTGATTCCCTTGCTTTAAGTACATCAATATTCAGCGCTTCCCAAATTTCACGAGAATCCAGTGTAGCCTGGAGAGCATGCTGCTGTCTTTACATCAATAATTTATTTATTTTTTCGAGAAATTCTGTAATTCCAGGGCAACTCTAACTGGTTTTGTTGTTTCCTCCCAGTTTTTCAGCATTAGTCTACATTCATGTAAGAAGACAAATCATATAATACTACAGAGTTTTTATGAACTGCACTGATGATTGTAACTAATATAATAGCAACTACATCCAGGCAGTGTCCCAGCTGCTGATAGAGGGGAAAGAAAGGGCAACTTACACTTTGTTTTGAGATATGAGTTCCTGTGCATATATGTATCTGTATATACATAAATAACGTCTGGTGGCCCATATCTTAAAATATAAATATATTATGCTATATTATCTTAGTATATACATACACTACTACACTGGATACTTACTATATATAGTATAATACTGTGTGTGCGTATATATGCTATACGGCTTATGACATATATGTAAAATATAAATATTTCACTAGATAGCTCTGTCTTGATTCCAATGTCTTTATATTTCTCTCTCCTCGCTTCCTACATGAAGAGGGTATCAGCAGATCCTCTTACATGACAATGTCCATGAGCAGGCTTCACGCTGGTTTGAATTGAAAACCATGAAAAGGTTACTTATGGGTGATTTAGATCTAATGAAGAACCTGCTAATGTAAGTATGCAGTTTGAAAACAAGTTAGTGTATTGTCAGTGTAAATGGAAGATAGGCATGTAATATTCACAAGTCAATCAATTTTCTGGTTCATTTGGTACCATAAAAATGTGTATCTTGAAGAAAACGCTAGCAGAGAATAAGGGCTATTATACATGCTATTACCACAGAAAGCTTGGGAAGAAAGCATGACATTTTCCTTTGAAATATGGGGCTAAAAAACATATTTATAACAGTGCATCAAAATCCATCTCCCTAAACTATTTCCTTGTGCCATCTTAAAACCCCTTAACAGCACTGCTTTTAAGAGCACCAGCAGAGATGCTGTAATGGCACATGGCAAACTTTACAGCGCCCGCTGACAGCTTTTTCTCTTCAGCCAGCACAGAGCATTTGGTCACTGTAATGAAGGAAAAAAACAAGGATCCCATTATTTTCCCCACTGTTCAGGGGCTCCAAGCCATCAATATCATTCTCCATAGAAAAAAGAACACCCTATGTGTCAAAAATGACAAACTGGGGTACTCTAAATGTATCTGAATTTCTCACTCTTGGCATTAGTCCTGAGATCAGAATGAGACCATAAAACAGCAAAGCTGAAGGCTACAAGCCATCCGGAAAAAGAAACAGGACTTGTTATGCAAAAGCCAAGTGATTTTGTAAATAATGCCTTTTTAATGATGCTCCTGATGTATATGGGAATTCAGACACGGGGACTGGCAACGAAATCTGTTCTCAGCAAACATCTGTCTGGCATTGGGCAACTTGTTTCACCACTTCTATACCTGTAAGTATCATGTTTGCCAACCACTTGTCATGGTTTGGACTGGACTGGCCACTGCCAAATTAAAGTGTGCTGTCACCACAAATAACAACGTCATGGAACTGAAACCTGAGGATGTCTATCAAAACAGTGGAAAATCTAGAAAGGGGTGACACCCTGAGACATCTGGCTGCTTCTGGCTGTAGGTGGGTCAGTCCATATATCTACATCCCAAGCGGGAGGCAGACAGACTCTCTCAGACCCTAAAGCATGATATTTCTGTGTTCAGGGCACTTACCAGTTCTTTGTCCTGAAGTTCTGTTTCTAGTTCTTGGAGACGTCTACTCAGCTGCGCATTTCTTTCCTTCTCTTTATTTATTTCATTGCACTGTTCCTCCAGTTCTTCAATCTTTAAGAAATGTCAGACATTAGGTGAAATCTTTCAGATTTCTGAAAATCTGGGGCAGACCACAGCTGATGTAAAGGGGCATTGCTCCACTGAGCAGAGGGAAGCATAGGCTATTTCAATTTCTCATGGATCTGTTTCTAGATTATACCACTTGATTCACTGCAACAAAATTACCACTTCTTTCCTTAAAAAGAGCCAATTTACACATCCATTAGGAAGCCCCGGGACTGTGTTTATTCTCTCTTGCACAGTATCTCATCTAATTACTCAAGAATGTGCTGCTAGAATAAGTGGGGCTGGGGATAAAATCCACACTTCATTTCTATGAAACCAACACAGGACTATAAGGGATAGGTTTTCTTAACACAGCAAGGGAAAGAAATCTCTCCAGTGCTCCCAGCTTTGCCCCCTCAAGGGTTGTTTATTATTCTAGCTGGAGTATGAGAGATACAACATCAAAACTTTGCGAGGAGCACCAGTTCAGAGTAACGTACGCCGCTTTGTTCTCTCGCCCAGGGACGCGCTTTGCTCTCTCCATACCTCCTCCCGCCAGCTCTGGACTTAGCTCCCAGGAGATACACTTCCCACAGGCTGAGGGGCCAGCTCATTAAAGGATGTACTTTAATTCACAGCTTCGCGTTGCTTTGGGATTATAACTTCCCTCATTTGAAAGGTAGAGCAATATGCAAAAAATTCTGACCTAATTAATAAAGGAGAAGGAACTTCCCAGGGCGCTGCAGTGGCGCAGCGTTAGCGCCGAGCAAGGAACTTACTTGGGGGAAAAGCTCAGAAAAACCTCTCTGTGCAGAAAAAGACAGCATGTTACACAGGCAGCATTACTGCAGAGCCTGGCTAGTCACCAGCATGATGATTTTGGAGCTGTAGTAAGGCAGTGTTTTGATAATCTCTTCATATCTAGACTACAGCTACTCAGATGCGGCCTGTTTCATTGCTTAATGAGAACAACTTTTCACTGCAACAGTACAGAAAAGTAAAAAACTACAAATTAGTAGTTAGTGATTAGTAGAAAATAGCAAATTATACTATTTTCTTTAACGTACTGTTCTCACTTCTCCCCTCTCCAAAAGAGACTGGATATAGGAACCCAAATCATGTAACAACTGATATTAATTTGTTAATATAACATCAGTTAATACAGCTCTGGTTTGATCTCTGAATTATCACTATGCACACCTAAAATACATGTGAATAGACAGAGAGCATCCGCCTGGGGAAAAGGTTGCTCCACATGGATTTTCAGTGCCAACAGGCAACCCAGGCCACCTCCAGCACTGAAACGCTGCTTGCAGCCTACTGACACACATACGAAGTTCCTTCCCCTCTTTGACTGCAAACACTAAACCAAAAAAAATCCTCACCAGACTGATAGAATCTGATCTCTACACCAAATGTCCCAGTGATCCATCTGAGTGAGCAGCGAAAGGGTCCAGCTCTTTTTCAAAGACATTTAAGATTAATAACATGAAATTACCCCTGCAAGGGGTGCTCATGGAAACCAGGGTCCCCTATGCCCAGGTTGGTGCCAGCACCACGTGGGGCTGCTACCAGCTCTTGACAGATAGCGTGGGATTATTTGAGAGATAATACCAATGACTGCTCTAAACCGAGGCTTTAAAAATTTAAACTTCTCAATTGTTCTCTGCTGTAGCCACTGCTCAGTCATACACTACTGAGAAGCGTTGTGCTCAATAACGGAGGGGAAAAGGCTTTTAATGATGCCTCTTGGCAGGTTTCTGGATGACATGTGCCCGGCATCAGCACTGGAGGGCCCAGCTCACAGCTCACGGTGCTGAGGACATAACTCCTGTCCTCGTTCCCCTGCCTGCTGTTGGGATTTGCTTCTAATACTGAGTGGTTCCCAGCCTGGTTGCCTGTGGGTAACCAGGCCATAACCTTGCCTTCTGCTCATTCATCATCTGGCAGTTCAAAACAAGCTTTGAAAGGGGTATGAAATAGTACTCCCACTTCTAAAACTTTTTTGCTTTATCACCCCAGCCAGCAGCCCCTGCTGACACCAACTCTCCCAAACCAAGAGGCAGAGAGGGAGCTTCAGGAGATGTGGCAGCACCCGTCCTCCCACTGACGCCCAGCCCTCGGAACTTCCCCCCTGTGTGCAAGGAGAAGCAGCTGCTTCAACTCCCCCCTTTAACTCCCTTTCAAAGACAAAATCTATCTCCTAACACACACAAAGACAAAGCAGCAGAAATCCAAGAGAAAGAGCAATGGCAGGAGCAGCTAACTGGAAGAGATGGCTCCCCTGTGGGTACGCTCTGCTACCTTGGTCCTGAGCTGGTCATTCTCCTCCTTGCAGGCTGAGAACTGCTTCTTCCAGTGCTCGATGCTGGCTGCAGACTCCTGCAGCGCTGTGGTCAGCCTGGCATTGCTCTCCCGCAGCGTCTGCAGCTCCGTCTCCCACTTCTTCACGTTGGATGAACTGAAAAAAACAGGGTGCCATTAGGGGGCTTCACCTTAACCTGACTGCAAACTCCTCCACCCGCAGTACACATTCACCAATAATCTGTTGTTCTAAGATCAAGCACACTCAGATGTTTGTCATCTCCACCGTTTCCAAACAGGGTTTTTCTCTGGGGCTGTGCACGGTCCGTGCTCTTCTCCAGAGCTGGGTGGCTGTGCCTCGCTCAGCACCCGCCTGGGGACCCGGTACCCGTGCAACAAAGCCACTCTGCACATTTGCAGATGGCATGGTAATTCAGAACAGATGATGTCAGGGGGTGACACTACTTATATTTGATTATTTTTTTTAATGTTCAGCCTTAAATATAGGAGTGTTACATAATGATGAAGAATTAAACTACTCATTCCCTAAAGCGTCAAGCTGCAGCGTAGAGGAGATTAGAGAGTGAATGGAAGGAAGGCTTTGAAGGTCCCCACATGCTAGTTGCTACTTGCCTGTGGAGGTGTCTTCAGCAGGAGGAACGAGCAAATGTTATGATTTGAAATAGGTTACGCTATTGAAATGTCAATAAAGAGAGACGATGTACTGCAAATATAATATATGCAGCTGTAGAATTGCTCACTGGGTAACACTGCTTATGGTGCTGCTGCCTTACTTTTTAAATAGCTTTTTAAGAGTAGCTTGATCCTGTTAGATTTTCTTTCCATTCACAGATATATTCACATCAAGAGGCAAACAAGGCAAGATCCCAGCAGAGAATGATTCTATTTTAATGTCCTAACTTTGCATATTCCAACACCTGTATTTTCACTATGGCTGCAAATTACTCTTCTCAGCATTTTCAGATAATTTATCAAAGCAAATAGCAAAAAATGTGACTTCAAGGGGCATTGTCCACAGCTTTAGAAACATCCCCCTAAGACTTCTAAGCAGCCTGGTGGAATTATATTTCTCACTTCAACTTTTTACAGCTGAGTTCATTCCCTTTTATAATTTTAAACATCCGTATCTATTTTCATCAAAGTAAATGTGGCAAATTCAAAGAGGAAGAAGAAATTGGCTTCACATGTTATCAGTAGCAATTGCTCCCCCATGGCTTTAATGTTATTTCTGTAGCTCTAAAACTTCACAAATGAAAGTGGCTATAATAGTTGGCATCAGCAGAGTAAAAGAGTTCTCATTCCATCACAAACTAGATCAGGAAAAAAAAAAAAAAGAAGTAAATATCTCTCAACTGGATACCAGGACATACTTGCTCAAATCTGCTCATTCATCCATTCTGCTGTGTCATTTTAAATTAGTGCAATTACATTTGAATAATTTCTGTTAATATCATTAGCCATCAGATAATTACAGCACACTATTCCAATGCAATTTAGATATTAAAGGAACTTCACCTTTGGGCTAGAGCAATTTTTAATTTATCATTCTCAGACTTGAGGTGTGCCTCAGCAGGACCACCATGTGATGCTTTCTCGTCATCTGTCCCATTCACACTAGATGCTCGAGTGGAAGATGGTGTTTCACGTCCAGATTCCTGCAGCACAACACACAAATGAACACTGGGCATCTCCTGAAACTCCACAACACCACCTTCCTTGTAATCTTTATCCCATACCACCCTCCTGAGGTTGGGTATACTTTCCTGGCAGAACAGTGGTAACAAACACATACCCTTTACATCTTGGCTGCAAAGCCAGTCTGCTTAAAAAGAATGAAAAAATGGTAATGATACACAAAATGGAAGTTTAAAGTATTAAAAAAAAAATTTAAGTGTTTTAACTGAAAAGGCTTGTGTTTTCTAAATGTGGTTTGGTTTTTTTAAGATAATGAAACAATGCAGTGCACCTGGTATCACACAAAGTCCAAACCAAAAATAATAACAAAGAAGATACTGCTCCTCCAAAGAGATACCATTCATAGACTGCTTGGTGCTGATCACCAACAGAGAACAAATGAAGTGAACCATGAAGGCCATGACCAGTCTCCAAAAAATGAGTATCCAAAGTCAGTCTCTCAGATTGATCTTTGTGGACCCCACAAAGGGGGTAGTTGCAAGACTAAGAGCACTCAGCAACTTTTTTCTGATCATGCAGCTGAATTTCCCTCTGATCAAAATTAATCTAACTCTCCTCTGAACTTCAGCCCAGGCCAAGAGCACCCACTAAACGGGGCTCATTTTCACCTAATGCAATGTGTATGAACTTCCAGTCAAACATATGGAGAGACTGGGACAACATCCAGTTTCCCTGATCTGTGAGAAACCCAGATTTCCCTGGACTCTGAGGAACTCGGCTATATCATGTGCTATCTAGAAAACTGTATTGTAAAATTAGGAACACACGCACGGCCTCTCTTCCTACCCCACAGCTTTCCATTAGTCACACCTAAGCAATGAAATATTATGACCACAAAGTCAGTCTCTCCATTGGCAAACTATCTCAATGAATCTCATTTACTGTCTGCTGAAGCACCACACTGACTTACTTTCCAGTGACCAAAGTAAGCGTAACACTACAAATCAAAGGACGTACAGCTTTTTGTTATTAAAAAAGTTATAACAGCTCAAGAATTGCTGAAAAAAAATAGATATAAATGAAGGCAAAGAGCACAGATGGATGAAAAATATTCCTCTGACAATGTTAATGTCCAGCAGCTGACAATTACCTTCGGCAATCTTCATTGTATATACTTTAAGCTTGCTGCCAGAAGCTGGTACAGTCCATTAGAAAATTTAACTTTAAATTATTTATCCTGTATGAATACAGGCATTAAAGCTAAATTACAAACCTGGGAATGATTGCTTGAGGTCTCAATTTTCTCTTGAGATCTGTCTCTTGCTAGTTTGGCAGCTTCTTTTACTTCTTGGAATTTCTCTGCAAACTGGAAAAAAGCAGCATGAAAGATATTTATTAAAATGATTTATCTCTATTAAGCTATGCAGATTACTGTCTTTATATGGTTCATTGACCTCTAAAAGTGAACAACTAATTTTGATAATTAAAAATTTTTGGCAAGAAAAAACATTCTAATTCTTTGGCAGGGAGGTTCTTTAAAAAGGAATGGGGATGTTTTTAAAAGAGGGACATCACTATAGCTCTGGCCGATCACAGTAAAAACCCATGGGGAATAAAAGGAGCTATTAGTGTTCACTGGTTTCATTTGGTTTTGTTTATTTCCTCCTCCTCCTCTGTTTCACTTGGTGTTGACAGTCTATTAAAGTTGAAAGTGTTAAAGACATATGTTTGGATAAAAAAAATTATCAATGTCTTCTGTTCCTAAGAGCAAGTCAATTAAATTAAAGAATGCAAATGAGCTTATCTGGAGGATGCAAGCAAGGAATTATCAAGATACAGAAAAAAATGAGAAGAAGGTAGATCTGAATGTACGATGAGGCCATATGAAAGCACAGCTTTTCTGGTCTAATTTTCTTATTACTGGCAAAAATGAAGGTAGAAGACTTCAGGGGAAGGCTTGAATGCTTCCTGTAAAAGGGTTATATCAAACTGGGTGAGGCAGGGGAAAGGAAGGATAAAGATGAAAAGTAACGATCCCAATCTCTACAAGTTGCTGTAGGATATCTGCTCTGAAGCCAGTCTGGCACTTTTGAAATACCGCTATTATCACAGCCAGTCAGGGTTCTAGGGCTTTAAACACTTTAAACGGTGTTTAAAGTTTTAAAAGGAGGATTGCAAAGATGGGAGAAAAGGCTTAATACATAATTCATTTTTTTAATTAAGATGTATCCAGTATAAGAATGAGTAACTTTGTCTTTCTGCTCAAGCAGCTTGGTCTTGCTTGCCTGTGTTTTGAGAAGAAACTTGAAATGCTAGAAAGGAAAGACATATTAAAAGCAAAAATATAAATACATGTATTTTATTGCACAGTTTGTGAATAAAAGGATTGCCATTATATCCTCGGATAATTCAGAACACTTATGACAGAAGTGTAAATAAAAGCATGAAAAAACCATCACATTTTATAGTCAAGGAATGGGAAGAATCATTATCCACTTACTAATCTTATCCTCTAACTTTTAGATTTACAGCAGGTATTTAGTATGCTCTCTCTCAGTAAAACGCTGGGGCTATAAAGACTGATAAAACAAATTTTCTTCAACTGGTCTAAGAGAAATCTGAACTTTTATGTGGAGGCACCTGTGTTTTGTATAACACAGACATACGAAAATTTCCAATGAACTCACATACATCATTCTTAAATCCCATGGACAAGCACATTTGCAAAGCCAAGTGAAATTTCGGGGGTAGACTATGATCTGTGATGATGCATTATGAATGAAGATCAAAACTCTTGAATCCAGCTGTTTTCTACACAACAGCTGAAATTGCATATGCAGAGTACGTGCTCTCGGATGGCATGTGCAGTTACTACACACACAAATGACTTGATTACCTTTGTAGCACTATAAAGATCATTAGGAACAACTACACAACATTTTCACCTTAAGTGATTTAACTCCAACTTTACACAAAATGTATTTCCTGCTGCGACAAAACAGCTATAACAAACTGATTTTTTCTAAAATATTGTATCAACAGTAAGTTCTACACTTGGGTTTCTTGCAAATAGTAAAGGGCTGTTTTGAGCCTCCTTTTTACAATAACTCTTTATGGGCAAGTACGAAAAATTTATGAGGGTTCTTCATGGTCTATATGAAATATGAAAAGACAAAAAGAATTGGAAGTGATCTATCAAATTTTATTTTTGCTGCTATCTTCATAAAGCACATAGGAGACTGCTGTGAAAAATTACATGAGGTGAGAAGAGAAGGACATTTTCCCACATTTCCATAATAAAAAATTGTATGTGACTGAGAAAAGTTAATCTTCAATATAAAACCAATAATGATGTCATTGCCGAATAGATTTCAGCCACGTCTCTAGTTTATCAACATGTGTATTTAACACATTTGCTTTTAGAAACAAGCACAAATAACTGAATTTTTCTCCATCTTAGTGACAGATCTTAGGCTTTAAGAGTCAAAATATTACCCTTCATTCTTCTTGTTGTTAGGAACGTAAAGACAGCTGTAACGGAAATGGTGGTGAAAGACTGTCTCCATTTTTTTGTTTACCCCACACATTAGGAAAGTCAGCCCATAAAGAGTTCTGCTGCAACTTCTTTTAATTCTTAGCTAATTAATACCTGCTAGATTTTACTAACAGTCTATTTTTGAAAGCTACAGAGGGTAACTTGGCTTGTTATGAAATTAAAGCCTTTCACTTGATTACTCTTCTGAGTGCAGCAACACGGTGCTGACAGCCCAAACTTGTCTTGCATTACCAATGCTAATTGCTACAGCAGCAGCGCAGGCGTTTCTGAAGCTACCCAGATCCCGAGGCCATCTCCAGGAGTGATGGCACGGCCACAGCGTCTAATCACCAGCAGAAAGCTGAGAGATACTTTCTCTCCAGTAAATGATTTCATCTGTCCCAAACACAATCAATGCTCAAATAATTGATTCTACAAAATCACATGCCACCTCCGAGATCTAAGTTGACTTTGAGCTATCAAACCATTGCAACAATAGGGAGTGCTTTTTCAATGAGAAAATCCTAGTTAAAACGTGAAATAATCTTCTATCTAGTAAATGAAAGCTTGGTAAATGTGGTCTTGAGGGACAACGCATGTAAGAATATCTAAAACAAACTAAATCATCATGCTCATTCTCCATCCATCTTCCCGCCCTTCATCTTCCCTTTCCTCCACCTTTGTCCTTGGGCAGTTTCCCAAAATTAGCAAAAAAAAAAAAAAAAAAAAAACTGGGGTGGGAGAAACGCCAACTAAAGACCACTCCAATAGTCCATCATGGATTACATGATGTGTCTTCCGATGCTCCAGGAAACTATGAGACCAAACTGCAATATGGAAAAAACTTACTGCTACCAACGCTTGTGAAGCCGTTCAGTCTAAAGCTGCTGCAGCCCATGGGCTCTGCTGATTATGAGTCTTGGCCAGTGAAATTTAATGGGGACTCAAGGATGCTACTGTGTATTGCACAAATTATTCAAAGGCTGTTCAAATTTGCAGCCAGCTTGTCACCTGGAGAAATATATATATTTTTTAATAGACCTTCCTAACATTTTATACATTAAAAAGCATTATTTTGAATGGGTAAATTTTAAGCTCCTGATCTGGCATAATATTTTACATCTCCTACTGACAAATTGTGCCAGTGTCAGATAGATGAAACAGCTGCTCCCACCCAAAGCAGTCTCATAAATATTTCATCTCCCTCTCGGTTTGCAGAAGTCTGGGCGATGCGACGTTCCCGTTGGGGAGCACTGCTGTGCCGTGACCCACAATGCACGTGTCGCTCTGCCCGTGGCTTTTTCTGGATGAGCCCTTGGTACCGGGCAGATCAGCAGAAAAAAAAAGGCTATTTACTCCAGAAAGTGGTCAGTAATTGGCACAGTGTGCTGCCAGCAGCGGTGCCGGTTGTGCGGGGGGGCTGTGCTGGGGCAGGGGCAGACTCTGCTCCGAGCTTTCTCCCCTGTCACACAGCTCCTGGCACAAGGCTCACACGATGTGCTCGCGTGCAGAGAAACAGTCTCCAGTGCTCCCCAGATGCTGGATGCAGTTGCTTTATGATGTGCAAAGTCTGGGTTTGCTGGGATTTCGCACCTGTATAAATCTTTGTCCCTGTGCCCTTGACTACTTGCAGCTCCTCAGAGAGCATGTCTGCCTCCAAGCATCCTGAATGATTGCAGAAATTTTACTTAACTGCTTCATGTGCAAAACACATCACTACCTTTACAGCACCGGCCCTGCCTCTTCATCACACACAGGCACACCATTAATTCTCTGCTGATTCCTGTTTCGATTTGGCTGCAGCAATGTTTGAATAATGCCTTGAGGCTGAGGGTGGGGAGAGAAAGGAGGGTCAGCAAGTCCTGCAAGAGGGGAAAAGGACCCCGAGTAGGACATCAACTTTAAGCCCTGGCATTCTCTCAATCAATGTGAATGGTAATTAGGTTACTAGGTCACTGAATGCAGTTTTTATTAATGGCTTATGTTTAATTTGAACTGCTTTTCCCTATAGATATGGATTAATGCTTAAGCATCTCAAGAGAAGCAAGGCACTAGAAAGAGGCAATATCTTTTATTAGGCCAGCCAATATACTTAAAAATGCAGACCTTTTTAGGCTTGCTAACCTCTTCTCCCATCTCATTATTATTCATTGTTTTCAGCAGACATTTTTCAGCTTTATTTATTTATTCATTCATTTTAAGCCAGGGCTATTGATCTCTGGTTTAGTGGAGTTTTAGTGTGTCCTTCCAATTCCTGACTAAAAGCTTCAATTATTTCCAGTGAAACTGGCAAGCTTTAATTTATATCTTTTATAAGAGTATAATGATATCAACATAAAATTAAACTTGATTTTACTACTCCCAATACACTTATACATCTGTAATCTCTCCACCATCTCTGATCTTTCTTATTAATGGTTCAATAATTAAACTGAGAACCATGGATGATAAGGGCTATCTTTGTCCCTTTGCTTTGCACAGTGGTAATAAACCAGGTTTTCTCACATTTTCCAGCTAGAAAACTGTCAGATTTTTAATTTTTTTTTTAAATAGATCATCTCGAGCCATTTTCAGAAGTGCTTCCCTTTGATATTCTGGCCAGAAAAAAAGTCTTTCTGCTGATTTGGGAAGCTTTCCCTGCAGGTAGGAGGCTGTGGGCAGTGGGCTCTTCAGCAGATCGTGCAGTGCAAACAGATGTGCAAACCGATCTGGAGAGAAACAGCTGGTGCTGAGGCCCCTGTGCCCACACGACATGTTTTTCAGATTGGCTCTAGTCTGGCCACAGGAACACTGAAGAGCTGCTTTCGTATACCAGCATTAATTTATTCTAAGTACGTGTTTGGATAGTGTTGGAGAATATGGTAAAATCTCTCTGATTAGGGTTCAAGGGCCTCCAAATCCATTGTTATACCTCTGTCTCCTGAGCCAGCCTCAGCACCACCTGCTCCACTTGTGGAGCACATTTAGCCCCAGCTGGCACTGAGGTACCATGTAGTCACCTGTCACACAGCAGACTGGCAACTTCAGTAATCCAGGATTAAAAATTACTATCCAAAAGTGCTAATTCTTTGATATGGTGTCCAAAGGTTGCATTGTATCAGGTTTATCTGTTACTCAAAACAAACTATTCCCCTAGGTCTGCCTTAATCTTCTCTTACTCCCGTGCTACTTATTAGCTACACTAAACACCTCTCTGCCACAGGAGGGGAGAATATGCACAGGTGAAACGAGCTCCTCTACACTTAAGTAGACATAAGACATACCCAGCACCTCATTCCTAAAAAACAGTTTTGCATGTGATTGATTGGGTGGCCTTAGCATCCCAGAAGAGTGGATTATTGCCATGGCACCTTTACGGACGTCCCAAGTCCAAGACTAATTTAACGTGAAAAGTAAAATATGTTTTACTTTTAAGAAACAGTTGCAAAAAAATGAACATTTTCGGAAATTGCATAAACTCAATAAGGCAGACTTAGTATAATAAACTCCTATAACAACTCCGTTGGTGGAAAAGTATCCTTCTCTTGCAAAGGTCTGCCCTTGCTATTTTAGATACTACAAAAAACACCTTGTTCTCCTCATTCTTTTCTTATCAAAGCACACAAGAGGACAGCAACACGAGACTGTGTGCCATGCCCAAGGACACAATGTTGAGTTAACTGAAAACACCCAGTGCCAAGTAGCCATGCTTCAGGTGTCAACTATGTGTTAGATAGATAGGGGTTTTTTTTACTACATAAACAAACATCTCAGCTGCTTGACGAGCGCTTGGCCAAGACCACTAATCTAATGAGAGAGGATGTACTTTAAACTGCTGGTTATTCATGACAAGAGGCAGCTCTAGACTTTGCAAGCCTGCTGTTGCAGCCCGTCTCTGGTCCAGGGAAGTGTTGCATTAATACCAAACCCATGGCCAGGTTTGCCCTCTGGGAGAGGCAGCTCTGCCAGCAAACCTGGTGTCACACCTCCCCGGCCACTCATCCCCCATCACTGCCACCTCCTCAGGTCGGTGATAAAGCAGCTTTGTGAATCACAACACTGAGCTGAAATGCCAGAAATGCAGTTTTATTTTAACCCAGATCCGTTTATTGAGCCTCCTGAGGGCAGTTTACCAAGCCTCCCGAGAGCACAGCCCCACCATCAGCGGTATCTGTGAAACAAGGGCACCAGCAAGCCCCAGGGGCTGGTAACTCCTTTACCTCAGTGAGCTACCAACGGCAGCAAGTCATCAAAACACACATTTCTGAGGCTGGGACAGCAACTCTCTTCCTTCAGACACATTAGGCGGTCCTAATGCCACCCAATGGTCCAGGTATATCAGTGGTTCACTTTGCTCTTGGTGCCACTTTGAGCTGAAAGGAGCACATAGGCCAGGGAGATGTCAAAAATACTAGAGTACGGGCTGTTTCTGTAAACATCTGAAAGCACAAATGCTTTCAGCCAGGCTGGGCAAGATACTGTTGAGATCACCTTGCTAGCACCATTGTCAGTGGTCAGACTTAATTTATAGCTTTGACTACAAAGTTTGTGATACCGCCTGTTTCTGTATACACAGGCATCAGGTAATTACACGTGATGGAGAACTTGCATGGATGAAGAGGACTTGCAGAAGCATGCAGCTCAGAAGAGGTCGAATGGATAGATGCAATTCCTCACTAATAAGAAACCAGACAGCCTTCGCAGAGATTCCATGAGCCCCCCTCCCCATACCTTTGTCAGCTGCTGCTCGGAGGGAAAGCCCAATCCAAACACTGTATTTGCTCTGCTGTCCGCCCACTGGCCAAACTTCTGCGATGTTTTAGTGAAGGTCATGTTAGGCGTGATTGTGCTGTTTATGATCACCTGTTTAGAAACAGATCAAAAAAGAATTAAAAAGTTGAAGACACATCGGAAATGCATATCCTAGCAACGATATCCTCCAAAGCAATTATCAGTCTAAATTGGGAAATTGCTGTATTCAGAAGATTTTTTCCCAAAACAAAACAGTTTCTATCTTGTCATACTTCATGAAGGAATTTCGATGTTTTACCTTCTTTTTCCAAGGCACTATTACAGACCTGCAGTTAAACACAGCTGCAGGAACGTCGCTGAACTTGAAGCGACAGCAGGGACAGGGGCTATAAAATTACCCTGGCAGAAATGCAGATGCAAATTCCGCTTTTTTCAGCATTACAAAGGCAGAGGCATGGAGTAGCACACTGGCTACTCCCACTGCCCCCCAGGCACCCAGCATGGCCTGAGGCCTCCAGGCAGGGTGTCCACCAACACCACCTGCCATAGGCTGGAAGACCAAAGAGATATTTCTGCTTTTCTCCATTTCGCCTCGGGCCTCCACAAGTAGGATGCCAGAGCTATGTCAGAAATTAAAAAAAACCACTCAAACAACAAAAAGCAAGATAAGGAGAAACTGGTAGCTTAATAGTGGGTTTAACTTCATTGCAGGAGGGAGGTGAAGTGCGTAACCAACAATGTGCATGCAGTAACAGATGCAGGCCTGAAGACAAATATTCTCCTGCTTAACACAAGTTAGCTAATATCTGCTTCACCACCAGTAACCTTGAATGCAAGAGTGGTTCTTGTGATTAAAGATATAGCCAACAAGAGGAAGGCTGTTGGGATGAGGTCTCTAAGGAACTTAGTGGAGCAATCAAAAAATGTGATCTTGCAAAAAGGAATGAGATATATGTCAGTTCATTATCAAAAACCTTAACTTTATTTCCAAGATACTTCATTATAGGAGTCTAGAGACTCCTTCCCCTGAAAATTAATTCATTTACAATGTTCTTTCTGCTACCAGAATAGGAGCTTTCTTTAGTAATGCGTACCATCATTTCCAATATGCAAATTATGCAGTAATTAAGCCAAATCTGTGGGACAGTTTAATTAACATGATCAGGAAGTATCCTGGCAACATCATTTACTATGTATTCCAAGCAGTTTTTTTCCTAAGCTATCATTTACATTTAGCAAAAAGTGTGAATTAAATTTACCAGAAAAAGATTTTTACTTGCCTCCATCCCCTCCCTAACTTCTGCCCTCCATGCTGATGCTTCTTTTTTCTTTCCTAGAAACTGCTCAACTTCAGTGGTTCTCTCTTTTTGCATTATAACTTCCAAATAAACATATGATTTTCTGACATGTCCTATCACTGAAGCCTTCACCAAAAGGATCAAACCAGATGAGGGCCAGGTGGCTGATGGTCCTGAAATTGGTTTTTGCATGGGAAGTATCAGGGAAGAAAGGGGCAGAGGTGACTCTGGAGCCAGCACTGGCCATCGCGCACCATACAGACACCAGTTTTTGGGGTTGAAACATCTTTTTTAATGGCCAGTTGACAGGCAGAGGTATAAGCAAAGCTGCCCAGATGGGCTCTCCTCCGGCTAAGTCACGCAACAGAAACACAGCCAACAAAAAATCCAAGTGCAATTTCAGAGATTTAAATTAAAAGAAAATCAAAGATTTGATGTAGGGTTTTGACAACGCAAAGGGAGTATGATGATATGAGGATTACATGATACAGAGAGTAACCAGAACAGGAGGAAAAGATACCACCAAGCTAGAAAAATCGGGATGCTTTCCAAAAACTTTAAGGAAAGTGCTATATGTATATTTCTTCTTTTGAAATCTCACATCAGACAGATGAAGTACTTACAAATCTTTAGCTTCTCAAGCTACAGAATTTATTTTAGAAGGTATGAAACACCCAGAAATTTCAAGTGATAAAAAGTATTATTTCAGTATCAAATTAGACATCTGTAGGGAAAAACTAATAAAATGACCTAGTTTATTGAAAGGCAAAAGGCTCACTCGCTGGAAGCAGACTCTGAGAAGAATACAGTTCTTCCATACCTCCTACAATAATCATTGACTAAATACAAATATATAAAAAAAACACAGCAAAGATATTTTTTAGACCATAGTCCAATATTATTAAAGATGTGATAAAAGGAATAATGAAGCCTGCAAACTGTAAATCAAAGAACACCTTATTGAGCAATGAAAGGCACTACATTAGCTTAGCACCTTAGAGGTTAATTTTCTTCTATAGCCAGCGCAGAATCCAAGAAAAGGTTGTGGTGATCACACACCTTCAAGAAACTGACAGTTCATCTGTTAAATTTATAATAAGCTGCAATTAGTGAAACTGCCTGGAAGTCGGCTCTACTGTTTTTTTTCCCCCTTAAATCCTCCTCTGTCAGTCAGGCACTTCAGAACCACTTCATTCCTACAGAGAAGTGAAAACCTAAGTGGAAGCTTAGGAGATAAAATCAGAGCTCATGGAAACCGTTCAGAGGAGCCGTTCGCTGTGGGTACATTGCATTATCCACCTGGTCTTCCCCCCCGACCCTCACCCCTCACACTCGCAGGAAGATGCCATAACATTAAACTTTGGGAGCATCAATCAGCCTGGACATTGACTTCCCTGAAGTGAACCTGGTCATCATTTCAGGGCAGAGACACTACATTGGCCAGAGAACAATCATGTTGGTTGTGTTTAGGAGAAAGAAAGGGTGTTACGATTTCAAAGAACAATGAAAAGCAAGGCTCACAGGTAGCCCAGCCTGTCCCCCCTCCCAAAGCTGTCTCACCCTCGGCTACGTGAGACCAGAAGAAAAGTACTCCCCACCACTCCTCCATCTCCTGGGTAGAAGGTCTCCATCCAGGGCAGAAGGCAGGGGAAGCATTTGTGGCCACCATAACAGGAATGTTCAACCAAGCTGGAAAAAATTGTATTTTTTTCATGAAAGGATGAGCCAGAATTTTCAAGTTTCAAAGGGAGAAGGAGCTGGGAGGAAGGGTGCAGAAAGGAAAGGGCACTATTTGAAAGCTGCTGTAGACAGGGAGAGCCTGCAGGCTCTTTTCCACCCCTAACTGCAATACAGTATTACAGTTCTATAAGAAAAGGCCACTCATCAGTTCAAATGGGCTCTTACGAAATAACTTTGCATTTGGTCCTCATTCGTATAATACACACATGGTGCAATTCCAGCTGCATCAGAAAACAGAATAAACGTGTGGACTTTCATCCAGGATAATGGATTCAAAAGACAAACTACTCTCTAATCAAATGCAATCAATCCCTGAAGTGGTTAAAGAGTTCTCCCTAAAGACAAAGGCAAAGAGGAGCATAACATAATAAGCACCTTAGAGAATAATAAACTCATTCATCATACTCAGTGGTCTACATGTGGTTAAAGAAAAAATATCTGCCTTTGCTCTCATCTACATGCAAGCATATCAGATGGTGAACATTCCTGATACATCCAAATAAACCAAACAAAATCTCATACTAATTTCACTTCCTTTGGGAGAAAAACAATCCTGACAGATCTAAAGTTTTATTTGAAGATGACACAGAAGAATGTTCACTGTACAGGGTAGTGCTACATCAACCAGAAATGACTCCAGACATTTAGAAACACACCAGGTATGTTCATCAGATAAAAGTGAATGCAAATAAGCTGGCATAGAGCAGAACATTCATAGGCTGTAACACACCCATCCCGCTGCCTTCCCACGGTGACAAACTGCCAAATAAATCAAGCAGGGAGAGGTCATGAGGCGACCTGAGTGTGGAGAAGGGAAAAAAAAATATGTATTGGCAACTCATGATGCTCGTAATATATGAGCAGTGCCCCTATATACAGCTGCCATTTCTTTTAGGGGATGCTTTGAGTATTTAAAGGGTTCCCCTCCCACACTCCCTGTACCACAACAGCGCATGGAAGAGGAAATGCTGATGTGGCTCCTGAAAATACATTATCCCAGTCACTGTTTCATTAACACGAGGCGAAGGTGCGTGTGGGCTGGCAGAGGGAGAGGGGCTGGAGCAGCACACGGGGCCCTTCGCTGTTGTGGCTCACAGCGAGCACCCTGGTCATGCTGGCCCCGGCTCGACAGATTGGCAAGAGGGAAAAGCAGGGATGAGAGCAAGCTCAGCTCCAAGGGGAGGAGAGCAGGGATTGTGGTGGGCGTTTGGCAGAGCCACCAGCACAGCCCCAAGGAGGAGGGCCAATGTGCCGGGAGGAATTGGCCAGGATGCCTCCTCTGATGAGACACCAACCAAAGGGGATGATGAGCCAACTGAGCCAGCCCTGCCACAAGCTTCCCTACCTGAGAAAAGACCAAAATAACAGCTATGAAATACCTAATTAATATATTAGCCAATATATTTTAGAACAGCGTTAAATTAAATTAGGACAAGAGTGCCAGATTAGGAATTATTCTGGAATTTCCCTTTTAAATTCACATCACCTGTTACTCTGAAGTTACCTCACCTCCAGAAAAGCCCCAAGGCTCGAGGCCATAGGATTTACCCATTAAGAAGTCACTACATTAAAACCTCCCCATTTCATTTTCACACCTCTGAATATGTGCTTTCCAGTTTGTAGCCCTTGCGAAATTTAATTTCCCCAACCCACCAGGCTACTAATCTTCAGTAAAGATGTATCCCAGTCTAAAAACAGAATTGAAGAGCGAAAGAAACTGCTAATCCTCTGGCCACAGCTATCACAGGCTCAGCAGGTTCTTCCAGCTCATCAAGTCGACGTGAATCAGAAGGGCTTGTGACACTGGAGGTAAAGATGAGGAGACAGGGATGGATTTGCAGAGAAATTCTCTCTATGTCCCAAATGTTCAGCAACTTCTTTGTGGAATTAACCCACCTACGTTTCTGTGATTTGCACTATCCTCTGCTATCTAGCATTCTTCCTGCCTCTGCTGAGAGCTTCTGGACTTAAATGTACCATCTTTTCAACAATATGACACTGGTGATAAACTGATCATTTCATTTCTCGTCCTACAAAGCCAGCACACGCACACACACTGTTAATCAAGACAGT